ATTACGTTTTTCTCGAATCCGGATGGACATTAATTGTTTTTGCCCTGTACCCTTCAAATAGAATTTGAGTTTTGTGCGTATTATTAATCAACATGAAATTTGATAATTTTGATGTAAACGTTTATAGTGATAAAAAATTTATATGAAAACCTAAAATTTCGGCATAGGCCGAATAATTTTGATGAATTAGATGATGTCGATTTCTTTTCCATAATTTATATTTGTTTGTATTGTCTCAATTTCTACTTTCACGGTTTTTTTTTTCAAAACTTTAAAACTAAAACTTTTATTATCAACATTATTCTTGATTTATTGTATTCATCTACAATAAACTTTGTGTAAACTATAGGTGCTTATATTACACAATAGATATGCGTTTTGCGAAATGCAGTCTTTTTCTGAGTTATTTTACCAACATTAGAAATTTTTTTATGGGTAAAGGTTTACTGCAAATTGCTTAATCAACAACAAATAAAACATTGAAAAACGCAATAACAACTAACCTGAAAGTTAATTTTCAAGTAATGTTTCAAGTGAAAAAAGTAATCTGACCTAATAACTAGATAAATACTTTCAAGTGAAAAACCGGGACTAAAAACATGTTCTAAATATTAAATCAACTAATGATTTGCTCAATTGTAAAATTTATTCAATTGATTCGACATACATATATTAGTCAATTTTATTTATTCAAATTATTCTCCATTTTTCAAAGGTATTTTCAGAGAATATACGATCAACCACAATAGAAATTATAGATTATTCTTAAATTTTCGAATTCTGCACTCTTCATGAGATATATTTATGTATAATTATAAAGAAAGATAAAATTTCCAATATATACAATTCCCATACTGATAAACCGGCACGCAAACCACCAATCGCTACATATTGACGCCTTGCATCTTATTAGTTCGAATTGTTCCCTATCTAGTTATTATCGATTTCATATGATCTTCTCAACACTAATCTTTATTCAGTGAACAATAACGACGGATTTACGCTCGCATTAGACTGACAGTATCAAAATTAAGCCGTTCTTAGTGTATGGCAATTGCAAAATTACGACCAAAATATCTGTGGCGGAATCTCACGCGCGTCATTATCAAATTGACAGGAGCGAACCACCGTGCGATACTTCCTGCTGATAATTTTATGTCACTTCCTACGTTATCTATCGTGATACCCGTCTCGCGACAGCGACACTCGTGCTGTTCGTCAAGTGACAGTCGATTGTGTCTCACTCGTCTCACTCCACCCGAAAAAGAATGCACACCGTGCAATCGGGACTGCTCGATAAGAAAATCGTGAGAGCATATTCAGGTAATATAATATTCGTAAAATAATACCGTTTTTATTTTAAGCGAACAATTATATAGTTTGACTATTTTTAGCGTTACATTTCGGATACAGCAGAAGTACAATAATCACGTTAAGCGTGTGAGATTGCAAGTACAGGATAACAGTTGTCGTGGAAACACACGGATAATTTTTACGAGTACATAAAAGTAGCACAAATGTATAATTTCTCTATCATTAGAAAAATATAATTTTTCTTCACAGATTTTGATTAAGCAGATAAAGAAGTGTTTATTATTAGATTTTGATAGAATTCCTATAATAAGAGTTGCGACATAGTGTAATGACTTCTGATCGGTTGAGATAGGGTAACTGGGGGGAATATGCCAGTGTGGGGAATATGCCACTCGTTATGTTTAACAAAGCTAGGAGCGTTGTTGTAAATACTATGAAATTGTTAAAAATATTATATCTGACATTTTGCCCAAGTTTTACTTACTTCCTGTCAGTATTATAGTTTTTATGGGGTAAGTACAGTATGACAACGTGCTTTTTAGAATTTTCTTAGTGTTTTATTGAAATTGTAATAAAAATATTCTTTTACATGTTTTTAGACAAGAATCCTCTTCTGAAGTTAAATTACTATACATATTTGTATATGATTATGATGGCATATTACCCCCACATGGCCATGGGGGTAATATGCCACTTTTGCAACACTTTTGTATTTCTTTCTTTTTAATAGTAAAGAATTAAAATATTTCATTAAAACCATGTATAAATAACAGATAAAAGAAAGAAAAAGAAGACCAGTATGAGATACCTCAAAAAGAAAGAGAAATAGGAAAAAAAATCATATTTTTCTTAAGTATGGCATATTCTCCCGAGTTACCCTATTGCATATGGTGGATCGGTATAACTTTCTTTTGTTAATAAAAATGTCAATGTTTTGTGATTTTAAAATTAGCAATATGGAACATGTGTATACTATTAAAACCGTTGGCATGCTAAAATAAAATAGTTATTTTTTGTATTTTCTTCTTCTCCTTTTACTCTATTTCTACTTTCATAACAATGTTTGAATTCGCTTTCGGGTTGATGCCGTGTATTTTGTGAATTTATTTTCTACGTTTCGTGAACATTTCGATGCATTTAAAATAATAAATCGATTTTCATGATTTCTACTTCTTCACACTTTCTATATCTTTTTGTCAGATAGTTAATTAATTAATCTATGGGATGGTCCGAAGCCCATGCACACCGCTGTCTGAAAGGCTTATTCTTTCCCTGTACGTATATTGCATGTGGAATAAAGGCTGGGGTCGGACCTAAGATCCTTCGGTTCTGATCATCCGCGCTCACACGAAGCCACGCGTCATCCCTATACTTATATATTTACACTCATAATATAATAACAGTTGTCGATTTAATTTGACAATTGTCAGGGTTACAATGAATGAAAATGTAGCGGATTTAATTTATTTATCTATATTTAAAAAAATTAGTTTACTTATGCTTTATTTGCTTCACTTATAAATGGCAGCGGTTTGTCGTAACTCTTATTAGAAGAACTTTAGATTTTGAGATTTTCAGATAGAGGCGTATAAATACTAGAACTTCGTGAAGTTATCTCAAAATACAAGCACACGTGCATGCCTCGCAATTCAGTGTTTGTCGTTTATCGTATGTTTACCATCGTTTACCGGAAGCGCGCGGCGATCTCGCGTGCCAACAATTCCGGGTATGGTTCGGCGATCGTATAGCCAGCAGGTGTCACGTCATTGTCAGCCACGTGAAAGACATACAATTACCGCTCCGGTTATAAATTACTTCGACGACACATTATGATAGAAAGTTAAGCGTTAAGTTCTATAATAAGTCAGAGTATGTCAGAGTCGGATGTCGGAACACAGCCGATTGTTATAAATAAATGAGAGAATTTCTTTTTGGAAAACGAATTTTTCTCATGGATTGAACCATCAATTATGTTCCGACTGCTCCCGACATCCGACACACCTTACGATACCCATTGTAGATCCGGCCTTAACAATTTTTTTGTTGCGCGTTGCGGAACCGATGATAGCGCGCGACATGATGAGTACCGAAATATCTGCTCGATGAATTACGATGAGTGTGTAAAAGCGGTTCGACAAATTTTGCGCTAACTGCGTGCGTACTAATTGAAAACATTTTAATCATTGATTTTGAGATAGTTTTCCAGATCACTATATACAAAATTCAATAGCTATTCTTGGGGATGTCTAACGTTGTCTATTATTTACTAATAGAGTGAGAAAATATTAAAAAAGAATAACATACAATTTTATTCTTTGCTTTGCTTAAGAAAATGACAGAAGTGTCACGTAATACGTATAATATATAATATTTAATATATTTTTAAAATGAGTAAATATTAGTGAATTTTATGTTTAACCTTATTAAAGTAGTTGTCTGACAGTACAATTCAAAATTTTATACTTCTAAGTCGACGTCAAAATATTTACAGTTACAGGCTGAAACTGTTGGATAATTCTGTCCCTCACACACAGAACAAAAGACTATTCTTTTATTTTTCGCCTCCAATCGCTCCTTTACATGAAAATCGAGGCCTATTTATTATTGTATTTCTAAAACTAAACAGTCAATAATTTCGGGTTTTTTTTTTACTAGTATTCCTAAAGTGTCTTTCTACTATATATCCGTTTTTATCACGTTCTTATTGTTCGTTCTAATTATTAAAATTTAAAATACGAGATTTTTGTATGCTTTGTGTACGCAATGCATATAAAAAAGTGCAATTTTTGATAGCGATTAAGTATCTCGCGTTCGAAACAGTCAATTACTTTTAAATTGTATACAAACGTGTAGATATCACATTTATTAACGTATAGTTAAATTTTCAAATTTTTCTTGTTTATTGCGATTCGCGGGACAACCACCTTAAAAAAGACCGAGTTATTTTCTTTTATAACGCTAACGCTGTATCGATATTACATAAACATAGACAACGAATACCATTAATAAATCGAGTCATTTTTGCGATTTGAAAACAATCGAGGATTTGCGCTCGCCAGTCGCAAAAAAGGAAGCGGACTGCGCGAAAAGTGGAACAGGCCGCTCGTACGTCGCCTCCGTGACACTAATTATCCACTTTAATTCGTATGTCGAAATTGCTTGCAAATTTTATGCAAGCAGATTCAACCACGGATTGCCATCCGGCACGTCTTCGCGAGTCAGTTGATTTCGTTCAACATTTAAATGCGGCGATATTTATATGTGACAATGGCGTATGTTGTATGTCGCTCTTATCTCATGGATCCGGACTCTTCATTTATGCATCTATTTGTACACAAAATGTACTCGCGTTCCGCAACCGCAAGCGGTAAAAATAACACATATTAGAGACAGAGATGAGATTAACGCAAAGAAAATATTTTGATCTCATTACATATAATCGAATTAGAACGTGTAACAAGCTCTTTTTAAAAGCACAGAGCAACAGCGGAGTAAGAGGCTAAGAATACGCAATTTATTAATTAGATTCCGCTGAAATGAAGCACAGGTGTGAGATGATTAGATGAATGGACGGATGAACTGGGACAAGTGGAAAAATGGGGCAAATATTAAAACAAAAACATTGTTTGATAAATTTATTGATCATTTTATCATGAATTCGACAAAAACATCATCAAACTTCAGGTATTTTTTTAGAAATATTCTTTCGATAATTTGTGGAAAGATAATCGACTCCGTTTCTCCTCACGCTTGTCGCTTTGTTTAGCACCTGCATTTTGAATGAGTCGGAACTGGCTTGCCACTTGTCCCAGTCTGTCTTTGCTTAAATGATTTAGTGGAGTCGTCTTATTCAGGTAGAAGCGTGCAGATATTTTTACAAACGAGCTTCGTGGAATACGTCTCGAATAAACGTAGAAAGAGAGGAAAGAAGTTGGAGCGGTGCTTGAAGGGAGAGCAACGGAAAGAAGTAATAAGATAAAAGAGAAAAACAAAGAGGGGAAGAGAGGGATAGGAGTTACCTGCGGAAAGTTAATCACGATATTGCTCGAGAAAAACTCGTTTCGCAATTTCTCGCGTCGCGACGGAAGAAAGAGAAACGGAAAAGGCGTTGAGACGCCGAGAGGAGAAAAAGAAGGAAAAGAGACGGAAGGAAGGGGGGAAGAGTGGGAGCGGGGCAGCAGCGCCGACGTAAATAAAGGCTCTCGTTTTGACGAACCGCTATTTTGCCCGCGAAGGGTCGGAGTGTGCTGCAACCAGCAGCATTCATAAAGAAGCTGCTTGAAGGCTGTCTGTTCTAAATTTGAGACGATGACGGACGGACGGATGGAGAGGAGACTTCGCGTGCGACTCAGCTTCGGAATTTCACTCCGAAACGCCTGTTGCGCCACTACACAACGCTACGCGAGTCGGCACTAAATCAGGAACGCGGGGCCGTTGTCTCTACGCGGCTCCCCGCGAACGTGGTCCACGTGATCGCGATCAGACGCACTCAGGCGGGAATCAAATCGCGCGCGAGTGCATGGCAAACGCATTAAACAAATTGCATTTAATTGCGAATTTAATCTTTTCTAATCGAAATAATCTATCGAGCGTCCTGTTTCTTGTCCTGGATACCTTCAATTCTAGAGGGAAAGAAAAGATATCTAAGTCCGGCTTCTCCGTGACTTATTCGATGAGAATAAAAAGAGTTCTGTGCAAATTCGGAAATGACTCAAGAATTCTCGCGGTACCAATGCACGCGCGCCCGATGTAACAGATGACAGAGGATCCAAAACACAAGGAAGAGGAGGAAGTGGGGGAGGTGCAGATGGAAAAAGGGGAAAAAGATAGGAGAGACGGAATGAGCACCGGGTGGAAAGAGAGATGAGAAGCGTGAGTGCGACAAGGAAGACGCGAGAGCGAAGCCGGGAGAGAGAAAGAGAAAAGAGGAGGGGAGGAAGGGGTTGGCAAGCGGTACATTAGCGACAACAAAGGCTCTAAGAGCGAGAGTCATTGAGGTTACCTGCGACATCATTGACGACTACGTCGGCGATCAGGTTGACTCTCTGTCGCGACTGTTGTTGTTGTTGTTGTTGTTGCTGCTGCTGCTGCTGCTGATGCACTTGATGCAGGTTGCTCTGTTGTTGCGATCCCGTCAAGGGCAGTCTACCGGCGCTCGTAGCGGTACTCTCCGTCAGGATCACCGTTGGCACCACGGCTGCGGCGGCGGTGGCGGAGGAGGAGGACGAAGACGACGTGGACGATTCCGCGAGGGGGCCCGCCGTCGTCACGATGCCGCCGGCATTATCGTCGAGGACCGTCGCGGGTGTCTCACCCCCGTCGTCCCCTGTCCTCGCAGCCATTCCGGGCCTTGCGTGTCCCGGCGGATAGACGGACAGACAGACAAACGGACAGGCAAGACAAACGGACAGACAGGATTCCCTCCACCTCTCCCGCACGTTGTTCCCGCGAGCGCTCGCACTTCTCCTCGGAAGAACACCTACACTCTTTTACGTGTTCTCTTTCGGTTTCTCTCTCTCTCTCTCTCTCTTCCTTTCTCTCTCTTTTTCTTTCTCTCGCGATAATGTCTCGCGGTAGCGCGCGCTCCGTTCCCGTACCTCTATTTCCACGCACGCACGCACGCTCTCTCTCTCTCTCTCTCTCTCTCTCTCTCTCTCTCTCTCTCTCTCACTCTCTCACTCTTACTCTTTCCCTCCCTTCCTCTCACTCTTACTCTTTCCCTCCCTCCCTCCCACGTCTCGTTTACTCGCTTTCCCTCTCGTGCGCTCTTCTATCGTTCCCTTTCGCTCCCTCTCACGCTTCTGCCACTCTTCTCCCGCTTCTCCGTCACTCTCGCGCACGCGTCACGAGTTGTCTCCCTCCTTCGCTCTCTCTCTCTCTCTCTCTCTCTCTCTCTCTCTCTCTCTCTCTCTCTCTCTCTCTGTCTCTACCGTCTTTTTTTACGCCTACGCGCCCCGCGCGCGCCAGTCAGAGCGCCGTGTCCGAGAGCGTACCGAAACTGCACCACCGCCACGGTTTAACTCGCTCGCTCGCTCTGGCCGCTCACTCCGTCCTCGTCTGCTTTATCTACCTATCTCTCTCGGTCTCTCTCTTCCGTCCGTTTTGTCAGTCAAACGTCGGTATATCACGGGACGGCGGCATCGTAGGCACCCGCACACGCGCCACGCTTCACCGTGGAAAAGAGCGAACGGGTTACGCGCGCGATATTCGTTAACCTTCCGTTCCCGTCGACCCGTGAAAAAATGGAACGTTAGACAAATGTAGGTCTGTAGGCCACTTCACTTACACTTTACATCGGGCACTCCCTGAGTCAAGCGAGCGTCCGGCGCACTGTCGCTCGCTGACAGTCGCGAGAGCCGTCAGGACCGTAGCGGCCGCGCCGCCCGCCACACGTTCGCATTTTTTTTTCGGCACGCCGATCTTTCTTGCCTGCCTTCTTTCTTTCCGGTGACAAACGGAATGACCCACGAATCAACATCTCGGAAGCTCGAAATTTCAGCTCGCGTGATAGCGGGAAGGAAGCGAGTACCTCAATGCCATAAGTTTACGCAGAGATTACTCTGAAGAGTCTGAAGATTGTCATTTGTAGCGAAACTCGAGGGTCAGAGTTCAGAGATCATGTGAGCGCGATGATCCTCGACCGGGCTAAACTAAAGCGTGCGCGCGCGCGCGCGTCGCTCCGATTCGCATCGCCGTTCAGTTAGTTCGAATCGCATTTCTCTTCTTCGCGCGCCTCTCGATCCTCTTATTATGCCGCGCATGTATATCGAACGAAAGGGAAAACGGTATTCGCGTGACAACGCGCCGTCGTTTCTGCGATAGGATGGAAACGAAAGGAGATCAAGAAGAGGGCGAGAAACAGAGAAAGAGGACTCGAACCCGTTACACGCCCGAGAACGAACCCGTTACACGCCGCCTCGGTTAGCTAGGGCAGACCCGGTACCCTTAACCCTCGTTCCGGGCGCCATCGCGCGCCGGTTACGGCACTGCGCCCCATCGGCGAGAGCTCCGTCGCGGGTGGAAAGACGCAATTTCCAAAAGATGCCCGTCCCCCTCCCCGCTACCACCCTACGCCGCAGTCGCGTCGCGACCGGCGTCGTTCCGCGGATCTGGCGCTGCGGGATCGGCGGGACGACCTGTGCCACCGCCGGCTTTTTCGGCCGCTCGCGCGAGCCACGCGGGGGATCCGGCACAAACCTCTCCTCTCTCGCGCACGTCGGCGGCTTGATTCGCCGCCGCCAGCCGCCGCGTCGCGGAGTCGGCGGAGTACGGAGTACGACGATGATAGGCCGAGCTCTAAGTAGGTCAGCTGCCGCGGTGTCCGATTGCCCGGCGCGGGCCGCCCTTACGCGGCGCACGTTGCATAACTCGTCACGCGCGACTTCACCGAGTAAAACCGCGTGAAAAAGGCTACGGTCCGCCGGACATAATACGGCCGTAATACGTTTTCAATGAACAATGCACTTGACTAACGCACTCCCCGGTCACAGCACGGCCAGCGCCGTCTATCGCGAAAGCGCGCCCGTTTCAAAACGGCCTAAGGGGCCTATTCTGTAAACGTTATTAATGATATCGTTACGCGCTTTGCGCAACTTTTCTATATTATACATATATGCGCAAAGTTAACGTTTACAGAATAGACCCCTTTAAGGGCCAATTTCACTAACCACGGTTAGCTTAACCGACGGTTAAAGTTAGCAGTATTGACCAATACTATTGGTTAAAGGGCCACTTCGACCAAACTCCGATTAATTTAATCGTTGATTAAAGGGTTGCCAACATAACAAAATAATTAGTGTGACTATTTTGTATTTCTGGCGATATAATCATCCTAACCCAATCTTATGTTACATATCTTTTTGTGTATTGTAGAAAAGAAAGATATATAACGAAAGATTGGGTTAGAACGATTATTATATCGTCAGAAATAGAGATGGTCACACTAATTATTTTGTCATATTGGCAACCCTTTAATCAACAATTAAGTTAATCAGAGTTTGATCGGTGGCTCTAAAGTCGCTCACGAAAACGCGCGGGACTGCCGATCCTTCGATTCAGAGTTCAGAGAGACATCGTCAGCTCGCGTTTTCTCGATTTCTTTTCGTCGTCTCGTCGATAGAGAAATATACAAACGTGTTGAAATCGGTGCGCATTAAAGATTCACGTTGCGAGATTACCGAGTTTGGAGATGAAAGGAAACTCTTCGTTAATTGTTACCTTTTCGAAGATTTTCTTAAAAAACTTTTTTTCTTTAAATACAAATGATTGAAAATCATGTTTTTTCACGAATTAAATTATAGAAATGTAAATAAGTAAAAAATTAGACATTTACATTGAATACATCAAAAATTGAAATTTTAGCTTTCTAACGTCTCTAATAATGATCTGTTTTTTTCAATCCTTCATCAATTTTTATATTTACTATGTTTTTGATTGAAATAATTTTTATTGTATTTTTCTGAATTAAGCCGAGAATTTTATGATTTCATCCTCATAAACATTCACATAAAATATTCACAACGCGTACAAATTGTATTTGATATATATATATATATATATATATATATATATATATATATATTTACAATATCAAATAAGTATAAAAATGCCAACGTTTATATTATATTAATGTATAATATAATGTACAAATATATTCTAAGAATATAAACATTGTATGTTTATTGTTAAATGTATATATAAATCTTTTTGTATTTTTCTATTATCTTGTAGCTTATAAGAATACACATAAGCTACATAAAAATACTTCAATATAAAAATAATTTTTATGATACAATTCAATTCCGACATACGGTTATTTAATTGCTCTTTTGTTTAGTTTCATCAAACAGAGCGCGCGATATAATCAGCCTTTGAATCTGTGCAGTACCTTCATATATCTGATAAATTTTGGCATCTCGCATAAGCTTTTCCACTGGATATTCGGAATTGAAACCCGCACCACCGAAAACCTATAAAAAAATTGACATGTACGATAAATTGTAAGAAAAATGTGTACTTGAAGAATAAAATGTTTTTTTACTAATCGTATATAGCTTAATAGAAAAATCATTTGTTAATTTGTTAATTATTGTATTGCACATCACCTGTACAGCGTCTGTAGCACATTTATTAGCTACATCAGCACCATAACATTTTGCAATACTGGCGAGTGTTGTAGCATTCGGTAATTCTTTATCAGCAGCCCAAGCTGCTTTCATCCATGCTAGTCTAGAAGTCTCAACACCAATAGCCATATCAGCTAACATGAAAGCTATTGCTTGATGTTCTGCTATCGGTCTACCAAACGTTTTACGTTCTAATGCATATTTCGTTGCTTCGTCCAGAGCTCTCTGAGCTAAACCAGTTGACGCTGCTGCAACCTGTAATATAAATGTGAAGATCCGTATAAATCTTACACTAAACTTATTCAGCATCTAATAGATAGATCTAATGGATAGAAACATAACCGGAGAACGTGTCCTAGTAAAAGTTTTCATAGCTATCTTAAAACCTTGCCCTTCTCCAAGCAATACATTCTCTTCGGGAACACAAACATCTTCAAATGTTATCATTCGTGTGTCGCTTGCTCTTTGTCCCATATTAATCTCCTTAAGACATGAAAAGATGGTTAGTAGTGTTAGTACAGATCAGTAAAAATTCAAAATAACATTTAATAGGATGATGACAAAAAACTGTCAAGAATTACCTTACGACCGAGAGTTAAGCCTTCACTATCGCGTTCCACAATAAAGCCTGTAAAAGCTTTATTAGCCGGGGCCTTTGGATCTGGATTTGTTCTCGCCAGAACAAAATACCTACATATTATAAGAAATTATATTAAAAATACAAAATAATACTCTTCAGAAGTTCATACTATATATTGCAGTATGTTAACATACCAGTTGGCAACACCACCATTTGTAATCCACATCTTAGTGCCGTTAAGTATCCACTCTTTTCCTTTCTTCTCAGCTTTAGTTTTAATACCTGCTACATCAGAGCCTGCACTAGGTTCAGTAACACAATATGCCTATAAATAATATCTCATTTATATAACATTAATTTTAGATAATATATAAGTTTAATTTCAAATTTACCGCAACATGTGGCTCTTCTAAAAGTCTCCCAAGATATTTATTTTGCTGTTCTTTTGTTCCAGCTACGATAACTGGAGTTTGCTGTAAATAAAAAAAGAATTTTTATAAATATAGATATAATAGTTATTACATTATAGTTATTACATTAAATAAATTAATTAAAATATATAATCTCAAAAAAATTAATTAGATCGAAAAAAAATTAATATTTAATTTGCTGAAAGAACTATCGTTAGAATTTTATGTCATATACGAGCGAGAGACTGTTCGTGATAAAACTTACTCCAAGACCTGTGCCTTCTATTGCAGTTGCTATCCCCGTGCAACCATAAGCCAATTCTTCCGCAACCAAACATGCATCAAAAATACTCGCTTCCATACCACCTAGAATAAGTTATAATTATTATCAATCTCTTTTATTTTTGCATCAACAATATTCTAGCAATATATTATAATATTAGTTTGTATATAAGATACGTATAATAATAAAATTCTAATACACTGCATAAATCAAGCATACCGCAATGTTGTGGAATGTGTTTATTTAGAAGACCAATACTCCATGCCTTTTTAATAATGTCCCATGGATATTTCCC